TGTTTGCCAGAACTTCAAGTCGTGCACCAGTCTGATGGTAGCCACACCGCAGTACTACAGGCAGAGCGTACACGGCAGAGTGTACACGGCAAACAGCAGCGGACCAAATTATTATCCCTGTGAGACACCACATAGTTCCACCAGTTGGAAGGAACGACTAGTGCCTACTCGTTCACACGTCTCTTCAAAGTTACTGATGTTTGCGGACGATATCATGATTTGGGTCAGAATCCAGGCCAACGCCCCTCAGCATCAGCTTTAGTTTGACCTAGATACGGTGTATCCATATGCACTCGAAAGCATACTGCATTTCAATGTCAGTAAATGCAAAGTACTTTCTATCCGACATGGGAGCAGCTACTCATACCGGCTCGGAACAAATATACTGCAACAGTCAACTGCCGAACTTGACTTGCATGTCCTGGTTCCAGATGATTTAGGTTATTCCAGGTAATCCGACAAGCGTTTTGATAAATAACTAGCTTCATACTTCGACAAATGCTCAGTACGTATGTTCGCCCCCATGTCAAATATGCCAAGGAAGTTTGGTGTACATGGCTGAAATACGAGCATAATCACTAGAGCAGCCACAACGTCGGGCATATAAGAAAGTAATTCGTATGCATAATCGTTCATACCAGGAAAGACTGCCACCAGTGGAGGTATTCAGTAGCTACCGCAGAACACGAGGTGACCTGATTATGTCATACTTGATTCTGCGAGACCGATATCGTGTGTGCCGCCCTTTACTGCAACTCAGCAGTAATACAAAATTGAGGGGCCACTCATTAAAACTCGCAGAGCAATACAGTCGTCTGGATTGCCGCAGAAATTTCTTTTCCATTTGTGTCTGTCACCCGTGGAATGCTCTCCCAGGGTCGGTCGTCTCTTCACCGACACTAACAGTATTAAAAGACTATTTCATGACGCACTCATCCACTTACACTTTGTCACTTAACACTAAGTATCCATCATACACATGGAGTATATCATGGAAGTATTTGTTGTTATCTGTGGGTGCTGTGAATCTAAGAGTATTGCAGGAATACAGCAAAGCAAACGATAAGTCCTCATTTTCATATTTTAGTTTTCAACTATTTTACTATCCTTATCATTATTACTGTTATTTTGATATTCCCACCAACTCTCCAACGGGACATGTAAAGCAACGCTTCTTAAACCGTATAAATTCATTGCTCATGGTTTATTCTCCTCATTTTTAGAAATGATGATAATCATTGCAGCGCGTCTCAGAGGAAGATGCAGGAACGCATCCTGAATAAAAGATAAGGTCAAACGGATTCGAACGCTTTGGATAAGTCCATGAACACAGAGGACACTACTTGAACAAGCGACTTTATTCGGCTCTTTCAATTAACCAACAGGTTTATCAAATAACAATATCATTTGCTATTATGGTTGAATTGGACTAAGTAGGACAGACGCCATGAACTGTTTTTCGAAAGCATCTATCACCAGAAATTTTAACAATTTTTCCAGGACGCTTTTTCGAAAAATGGGCAGTAAATTACGAAAAAATGTGCCTACACTTAATTTACGGAGGGGACAGGTAAAAGATCCTACCAGCCAGTACTTACACGCAACTGGCTGCAAGAGTTTTCAAACATGCAGATACGTCTTAACAAACTTCATTTGTGAGTTCACATAACAAATTCCGATGAATGGTATAAGCAACGACTGCAGTAGGTTTCAGTACCAGCAGCATTGAAAGAAATTTGACAACTGATACGAAGACACCAGCCAATAAGAGGCCAGCCGGAAAACTCTCCTCGAAATCGATAGTTGGCAATGGGGATTATAAGACAAACATCCTTGCATACTTTCCGCCGAGAAGACAGGCTTGTCCATAGTAGAGTGCGCAGTAAACCCACCGGATCCGTGCAATACCAGCATGGATAAATTCGCGCAGCCTCCGCTTCTGTCATTAGCAAAAGTCCGCTTCAGATTCATTGAAGCGGCTTTTGCAACTGCTGTACCATGCGGTAGTCAGGCGTTCCTTAGATGCTGTTTACATGCATTCCCTATGTTTGATTCGAACAGCAGGGCACGTTCTGACTGAATCGAAAATTAACTCCGCCAAAATTTTGGCAGTCTGTTCAACCATCAATCTATAGTTATATCAAAGTAGAGTGGTCTGGCTTTCTCTTTCTTCCTAACCGAAAGCAGTTTATGAGGAAGACACTCTAGAATGGAGTGATCGGTAATTCATCATGTTGTCTGATTACCGTCTGCTACCAAAACAGCGCAGGACTAAAGTTAAGCTATTGAACTCGTTGAATAATAATCAGCTTGTCAGATATCCGAGCCCATATCCGCGGGTTTCCCTCGGGCTCTCCTAAGAGTACATCAAATCAAGAGAGTGGAACATGTTCTGATAACCCATATTCCATTCTTGGTCGTACATGGTGTGTGAACATGAGCCTGAAGATTTTGGTGTCATTCGGAAGAAAGATTTTCTCACGGCACAACATATCCAGTCTGCGTCGGCCACCATTTCCAAAGTATTATGCGTGGATTTTAAATCAGGTTCTATTATTACGTCTAAAGCTTTCTCTGTGAAGTTTATAAAAAGGAAACCACTAACGTGGTAACTAACAAGCGACCCGGAAGCCCGAAACGGTAGGATGCAGCATTTTTTGTAGTGTGTTGTTAGATTTACTCTGCCTGCTATAACAAGGTTTGGCTAGGCACTGATTCGAAAAATCTTAAATTTAGATGCAAATCCGATGCGCAACTTGCACTCTTCCGGCGCGGAAAGAAACCCTCCTAAAAGGCAAATGCCAAGGGTTGGGGCTACTGATCAGTACGCGGACAAATCTGTTTAGATGGCGCTCGAACACTCCAAAGAAGATAGGCGGAAGCAATCTAGTAAAATGGAGTTTAAAACATTCGAGATTATCTATGATTCTTCTCTTGAGAAATGCGGTATAGTATTCAGTAGCAGTTATGAAGAATACTCTAATACCCGTATATGTGGTACATGAGTTATTTACAGTGCGGGATACAACATCATGGGACGGAAACACATACAACATATGCGCCCGTGTAAAACGAGTTGTCATATCAGACGGAGTATAAGAACGAAGACAGGACTCAGTTCCGGTGGCATTGTACTCAAGGGAATTTCAATACAAGCTGTGTACTCTTTCGTTTGTACTTTAGATGAAGGTACCGCATTCTTAGTCTTTTTTTGGTAAACATAAGAGCCTGCAATCAGTCCTTAACATGGGTGGAGGGAAGAGTCCATTCGAACGGTTCGTAGTTAACGTAAGACGCACTCATAGGAACAGTTAAGTTTGTCAAGCTGCTCGTGTCCGAAAATTTGCACAAAAGCCATATTTCGAAGACCAGGAAGACAACCATATTTTAGCTCTGCTACCATTATATCCACTTTTCGGTACTGTTAGGACGACACTGAGAGTAGGTTTCCAATACTTTCAATATGTCCTACTTACAAATCTGGCAGACGGAGAATAATCCTTGCGGCACTTGGCAGGTTCGAAACGATTGATCAAATTTAAGCGAATGTGGTTCATACTAACTAGTACTTCATCGAAACACATTGATAGCAACCTAATTTGGTTGGAGCTGAGCAGATTGCTAACTGATCAAATTTCCAAAAGCAACATGCAAGTGACCAAAACAAAGCAACAGAAAACTAGCAGCTGTTGGATTCCCAGGGATTAAGAAGTTGCATACCCTTTGGATCAAAAGGGAAACTTACAATGTTATGTTTTTAAAACGCTATTCAAAAATTACACTCGCAAAAGCCTAGTAAAACCAAAGTTATAGATGTGAAACAGGACGTAAAATTGTTTCTGGCTTTGTCAAATTGGCTTCCGCTTGAAAAACCACGCTACGATTTCACGGATTGTATGTATACAGCTGGAAAGTATACCTGAGACACCTGCATTCGGTTTTATATTACAACTATTTTTCTTCTTGTTACCTTGAAGTTTACTTCAATTGGAAACAGGATTACTAAGAATTTATGAAATGAATGCCCTTTAAGTTTGTCATGCGTTAATGCACAGGCAATTTGAGTTCACTAGTATCGCAATTTTGATGTAAAGGCCTACGCAAAATACACCGTTAATAAGATAATATGGATTTATAGTACGAAAACTTAATTACTTTTGAACGAATGCTTTATATGCGTTTATTAACTATTATGAAATTACCTCAATGTCTCGAAATCAATAACATTGCCCGTATTTACCAGTTTGATTTCAACTTAGCGTTTATCATGAAGTAAATATGGATATCTCATTATGTGCTAAACTAGACTGTAAGCCAATCATTGATGCTACTCAAATTTTTCATTCCTGACCCTTTAATTCTCTGTAGGATAACCATAAATCCAATAATCCTACTGAGGCAACCGTCCTTCATCGCCCATAGTTCTGATAGCTTGACACTACACTGAGTCATTATCACTAACGGTGGTTTAAAAGCATAGCCAATTCGCCCTGATGTGGTATGTTGTAAATCTATTCGGATTATATGCCGTGCAGGAAAATTTAATTTCGTATATCGAGTGATTAGTAAGCAGTTGACCACATTTGTTGCTCGGCTTACAGAAGCCAACTTCCAGAAAACGATATAAATTTGAGGTTGACAAAAATAATAGTCAATCAAGATTTAATTGAAAACGTCAGCAGTTTATTCACCTTAAGCAAAACGGTTGCTTTTTCTCTATGATGTACGTATTATAAGACCTTTATTTTGTAAATGACAAAATTTACGGGCCTCCAAAATTATCAAAACAATTATATGACCTCAATAATTACTCATGAAATCGTTTCTATTCTGTCCATAAAATGCACTACGCAGCTACACAGTACATCACCGTTTCATTTTATTCGAATCCATCTAGTTTGTGAAATGAATGTCTCAAATGGAATTGCGCTAAACAGTGTATTCATCTAAGGAATTATATTCCAAATTGCACAACGGTTAAACCAAATCAATTAGCTTACTTTGTTTGGCACGCACGCATGTGCTAAGTAGACAGCATCTTTGGTAAATGTCGAATATGCGCAGCGACTATCGTATTGTGGCGCTGTTGATAGATGCATTGGGACTGCACCGTATTCGTCCGTAATCGGTAAGATTGGTTTTGCGACACAAAAGCAAGCGTGCTCACCACGCCTAAGTGAGCTGTCGGCGGAAACGCAGTGCGGTGATGTGGCTGTTCGGCATCCATCAGACAACGCTAAAAGCGAAAAGTGACTCTGTGTGTGTATACATAGGACATTGCGTCTAATATTTGTAGGTACGTGTCATGAAGTTAAAAGCTGGTGGTTGCGGATGACATGAATCAGTTCAACGGTCTATAACGAAAGGTGTTTTCAAAGCGTTTGGCATTTTGGCTGTTAACAATTTTACTAGTTACTGATTGCACACTACTGTATAATTTTCTAGCCTGTGCTACCTTAACTGGATTCCAATGGTTATAAGCGTGCTTCCTTGACATCCTAAACAACTAACAATAGATCAAATGTGGTAGTATTGGCTTCATTGCTGAATACAAGTAATTTTGATACTAAAGGTTTGTAATGTTAAAAGTATATGAAGGAGCGGTCAATTTCCGTGAATAGTATAAGATACCTTGTAATCCAGTGCATTGTATGTGTCAGCAAACTACCATGAATTTGCCAGTATTTTGTTCATACCATGATTCAACTACAACCCATATGCTTTTAAGTGCATATTGTCTGTTTTTCTAGTGAAGGACTGATATGGATGAACAGACAAATACATTTTCTGTTCATCTTATCAGAAACCTTATCCACTTATTAATTGGTAACCCTTACCAATACAGTGATTTTGTAGCAATTATTAATGACCATATCCCATACATGACATAAATCCATTCAATATCTCCTATTATGGCCAAGACAATACATTACATCACATGTTTGTTTAGGCTGTTGCTGACCATATTGTTCTTAAACAGTGGTACTCTGATGTGGTTCATCATTTTCTTCATTTTGTTGGTCTACAGCGATTAGCTTACTCTGATTTACCAACATTAACTTAGGAACATAACTGATACAGTATTTGTGTATTATGAATTCTGCTCGAAATACTTGCGCGGAAGGGGTTTCCCACGAAATATGTGAACATCCTACATGCTCTATACTCGAAAACTGTAGGCTGCGTAAGGTTTTACGGTAATCTGTCGGATAGCACACCGACCAAATTGACATTCCGCAGGTTTTTCGGTTTACCTGTTTTGGTTCAATTTGGTCGTGGAATCTATCACGGAGTGTTCCTTTGCGAAATCTCATGGTGTAGGCTTTGAGATCCCGCCTTCGTTAAACGTTAATTGACCCAGATTATGCGGACGAGATCGTCTTGCTTTTCCACAATGTTGCGGCCGCGCAATCAAACATGGATAGCCTGCGAAGTCATTATTTGTTATGCACATCGAACCTACAAATTGCAAAGTGTTGCTGCAGGACCACCAGCCAGTCTATTACCCATTGATCCTTGCAAAAGTGGAACTGAAGTTGGTTGATCAATTAATTTAATTTCGCAGCTGTATCAGCAAAAATGGGCGCATAACATGCGTAGTCAATTCACTCATTTCGAAGGCCAGAACTGCCTTCTTGAATCTGGGACATCTTTGGAGACAGAAGAGGGATTCCCTCTTTATAAAATGCCGAGTATACAAGGCCACAGTAAGTGCAGTCCTGCTCTATGGTAGTGTAACTTGGCCATTTCAGTTTGAATATCTGAGGCGCATTCAAGTCTTTGATCATCGTTGTATGCGAAGCATTGCTGTTGTCGGATGACACCAGCTTGTCCGAAACTATGATTTGCTTAGACGAGTATTACTTAGTGATTATTACGTTTGATACATACAACTAGATAGCATTGAATAAGTTGCGCTTGCTCGGTCACGTGTTACGTAAGCCTGGTCACCACTTACCTACGAGGGCCTTGTTTAGTCTGCCAGGTGTAGGGTGGGGCGAAGCTTAAGTGGACAGCAGTTGACTTATCAGCGGGAAATGAAGTCACTTATCACCAAACTGGGTGCCGTTGGTCTTGTCGCTTTCCGGACTAGAGTCCACGTGAAATGCTTTGTGCTTGACTCGAGAATTTACAGTACATGGCACATAACCGACACCAGTGGGGCGTATGTTGCTGTCTCCTAATGGTATTGCCTGTTTGCATTGTTGGTACTGAGTTATCTGCAGGGTTATGGCTGATTACGACACGGGGAATTAAATGAAGATGTTTAGTCGATTCGGCCTTAATTTCGGACAAAAGCCAGCTGTCGCTGAGAGTTTTTTTTGTCTACATACGTGCAGGCGCCTTGATCATGAATGTTTACTTAGGTCATAAATATATTTAGCTAAGTCCCCAATTTTTTGTTATTTACCTTTGTTTCATACCTCATTTTGTTTGTATGGCAGCGAAGCATCAGTTTTGATGGTTGATGCACTGCTGTTGTTTATGTTTGTAACGATGTGCAAATATGTTTGCTTCGCAGTTTAGAGAAATATTCTCAAAGTGTAGTCTCCCTTGTTGAGCAGCGAAGCTTACCTATTAGAAGAAATAATGGCCGATAATTCTGAAAAGCCAAGTGCACATAGGTGTCTCTAACCTAAATTTGCCAGCTGCAGGATAGATATTTACAACTAAAAGGAGTAATGAATGATTAGCTAGGCGCTACATTAATGTACTTATTCGTATCATTTAAATTAAGGTTTAACGTAATTTGTTTTGATTATCTATACATGAACTTCTACAGTTTTACCCTGTCGTGTCATGCTAGAGATTGGACATGCAAAATTGCGTTGCATTGCAGATTATGATCGGCAAACATTTTGTGAATAAACTTAGTTGCTCTGATCACACAACTGATCTCATCAACATTGGCACACAAAGTAAGAAATCTTTTCTCGTTAGTGACTTTCGAAAACGATTGTGAGGTCAGTTATAAATCGTAAAATTCTTTCTGCACAAGGATACCGCTACCGAAATATCCTCGACAGCAAAATAAGAAGCATACCGTAACTATACACCCTTCTTGCACAAGCGGCAGTTGCGCAGGTGCATTCAAATTTACACAAAAGAAAATGCTTTAAAAACCTCACCTGAAGGCAATTAAACAATACATTTATTTGTCTTATCTCAAGGACTGCATAGAAAGGACTTCCATGCTACATAAGCTGGACCAGCTGATGATGTCTTAGCCATAATCCGTAACTCTGAAAGGGACCATGACTAGATCGAATGAAATAAGTGAGCACACGAACTTGACAACCTTGAGTAGAGTGTGCGTTTTTAACTTCGCGATTAACAATATGCAGGTTAAGCAGGGAAAACTTGTATTCAAGTTAATACAAGCGCAAACAGCCTACCAAAACCTTGCATATGTTTCCTGATATCGGAGCACACTAATCATAGGAAAACTACTTTGATTGCCCTATGACTTTTGCTGAAATGAAACTCATACACATTTTAGGTGTTTCAAAATCTTGCCAACCTACAGGTGTTAATTAAACTTGCGTATTTAATTATATCCAGTAAAATAATGGCTGCAAACTGAAAAATATTAGACAAGACTTAGGCCACAAAGTAAAAATTGGTTTACACCAAAATATAAAGATGCAGCGACCTCGATACATATTTCAATGAGAGGAACATATTATAAAGTTCATGATCGTAGTTTAATACCAGTGGATATCCAGGGAAATTTTCTACTAGGCATTTAATAATTAATGAAGGAATCTGGACTAAAAATAAAGCACCTGCAGCAAAATTGCGAAGCTCGCAAATTTTTCTATAAGGAAGATTCTTGTGTGTGCTAATCACCATCCCAAATTTCTTTCATCCCCCTTTTCAAGTCAATTACACGCCTGAGTCCAGAGCAAGCGCCGCCGCAGGAGAACATTTTGTACAACCATGTAGTCCTGCTGTGTAATGGGACTTAATCATTCGAGTGCCTCAGTTCCGACCAAAGCGCTTTGCATGTTGCAAGAGTTCGGAAATTTCTCCCTATCTATACCCTTGTAATATCTGCTACACTTTATTTTTGCCGTTGCGAGTAAAAATTATCAGGCGACTTTGCCGTACATCTTGAGTGTGCACTCAACGATGTATGGTGTTGTTGCTTCACTAACTACCACGCTTCTTCGTAATACGATATAAACATACGCTTAAGTGCGGTGCATAAAAATAAAACATTACTTTGTATCAGTCGCCTTAAGACAGAGTTCTTATTAGGCCATTCTCTTGCTCTGATATGATTGCATTTTACTGGACTTTCCTCTCTAAACGGTTAGTGTACAAATAACCAAAATTATTGGTACTAGCCAGCCAACCTTATGCCTTGGTACATGGTGCAATCTCTCATTGGAACATGAAATAATATTTAAAGCGCATTGTTACTTTTTATATTATCGAACCTGATGGTTCGCTATCTCAGGTAACCTACTTTGTTAGGAACCGTTTTTATCTTGTATTTTCGACATAGAAATTTAGGTAACAGACCAATCTCTAACGGTAAGTACTCACTACTTTTTACTAATTTTTCATGATCACCCTTTAGGCATGCAGTGAATGTTACACCAATTTTGTAGCTAACTAAGAAAGCATTTGTCAAATTCGTAACATTGCGAATCAAAATTAACGGTCGACGGTCTTTAAACCCATCGGAATTCTATTATTCTCAGCCTAATGCGTAAATTAGTACAACGTATTCCATAATAGAAAACCGCTTGAAGGACTGGCACGTATAGAAAAAAGTATTGTGTGCCAAAGAAAAGATCACTGCACGGCGAAAGAGCGGCTTTGGCGTGACGTGTCTCACAACCGTTTATTCGCATAGCCTATAGTTGGACTGTGTTTTGCCTCCCCGAGGAAAATACCAGTATTTACTTATTCTCTAGTTTTGCAAAACTATGAATATTTCCAAATGATGATTTAATTGGAAGATGAAGTTTTCTCTATACCCTTACTAGAATGACGTGTGTAATTATAAATAATTTCTTCGGCTACCAGCTCATGAATAATTAACACATTTGAAAGCATATTAATTACATTTTAGTTTCCAGCAATCAAATATGAACAGAATTGACCGCGCTTTGGTAATGACCAACAGCCACAATCATGTAAGATAGTTTTGCCAACTTATCATTACTGCAGTCATGCCATCTAAAGTAATCACGCTTTAACTTCGCAGCATTATCATCTGCGCCA